TTTTTAAACAGCCCAAAAATTATAGAGAAACTTATGAGTGGGATAGACACAATTTTCAAGATGGAGGATCTCCGTTTGCGTTCAATTTGTACCATAGACTAATAGAGTTTCGCATGCCTGGCGTGAACGAAACAAATAGTTATTACATTTAATAAACAGAGACCCGAAGATTGGTGGTGGAAAAAACATGACCTGTGATTGCTATGTGAATAATTAACGTTGAATTCATCTAATTAAATGAAAAAGCGGTCAACGGTTGAAAAGTTGAAGGAATATCAACACTTGATTCAACGCCCATTCTTATGTTACAAATCAACTTCAACATTTCGATTTCGTTACTTCGGATCGGAAAAACAATAAAACAAAGAAAATTGCACGATGTCTCGCAATGATAACGAATATAATAGAATAGCTACAGAATATGATCCGATAAAAATAGCTTCTATTGATGGTAAGTAATTAAAAAGATTATTGGGAATAACATAACAAATAATTCCAGAAAAAATAAATTGTTGTAAGCATTGTAATTGTTGTTAGGCACCGACTGCGAGGCTCACGACCGCGCAGTTCTGCGCGCCATGTTTTCGGAATATACTCCCAACAAGCAAGTCAGAGGTGATCCTCGCCATACGTTGTTCATTGGCCGATTGAACCATCGGACAACACAGGTGATATGTCAATACAAATATATGCGTGATAATAAAAATGTAGTGTTATAAAAGAGTTTGTAATAGTATATATTATTTTGTTGTGTTTCAGGAAACAATCCAATCTGAATTTTCAAAATTTGGAAAAGTCCTCCATTGTCGTTTGGTAAAAGATATTGTGACAGGGAAATCAAAACAATACGCTTTTGTAGAATATGAAAGTATAAGTTCTGCTGATGCAGCGTGGAAGGAGATGCATGCAGAGATGCTGGATGGATCAGAGGTGATAGTGGAGCGGGAGGCGGAGAGACGGCTTTCGGGTTGGCGGCCGCGCAGGCTGGGCGGGGGGTTCGGAGGCCGCAAGGAGTCGGGCCAGCTGAGGTTCGGATGTCGAGCGAGGCCATTCAGAAAACCATTTGTCCTAGGGCAAAATATTGATACTGTTCCATCTACTCACAGAAGGTATATTTTACATATAATACATTGAGTGTTAATTGTCATGTTTTTTCTTTCTTTGCCATTTGTTATAAAATACTCTTTTTGTTTAGGGACGGCAAGAACTTACATTAAACAAAAGCAACATATGTCACAATGTAGACAATCTGTATGGTCATGGCCTGTCAAAGTCTGTGTTGTTTGCCACAAAAATGTAAACATTGAAAATGAATGTAAAATGTGCAATGAATGCTGGAAGGAATTTAAAGGATGGATGAGATCCTTTACGAGGACCGAATGTGCTCTTACCGCTTTGCAACTAGTGCTCTTAGTTTTGTTTGTTGCTTTTTTGACTTTTCTGATTTTACACCTTCTGGCATGTTCGGCAGCTAAACATTTTTATGACATTGAACCAACTAAAATTACTCATGAACCATTTAGTACATCATCACAGACAAACACAACTTTAACAACTATACCAATTTCTTCAACTAATCACACAACTTTAAGCTCTGACATTGAATGTACCTGGAGACCATCACAGAAGACAGATAGTGTCATACACTATTATGACAATGGTGCAATGTCAACATGGACACCTGAACCACCAGATGGTGATCTGGCAGACGATGTTGACAAGTCCTACGTACTCGCACTTGGAAAGGTGAATATACAGGACATACAGGATATAATTTTTGGATGTATTTTGACTATAATATCTGAATACTGTACTCTTACGGCAGCGAGTTGTATCGAATCCATTGAAGAGGTGGACTCTGTGGATACATTTGTCATCATAGAGAGGTACGGGGATGGGCACATCGGACAGATGCATACGGTGTCTGATGTCCTCATACATCCCGAGTATCAAGGGATTAGTAAGAAATACGATGTGGCGGTTTTAAGATCTGAAGACAGTTTGATCAAATACGGACAGTCCGCGGTGAAGCTGCCCTCGATGCTGGACGCCCTCATGATTACCATCGGGGAGGAGTTCAATGTACTCGGATATGGAAGTCCCAGGTTTTTATATATTTTTTTAAAGAATCTTATTTATTTTTGTTGTCTACTATCACTGTAAATCATTGTAATGTCTCTACTAGGATTGCGAGCGGCTCGGAGGGGCGGGGCGTGGGGCGGGGCTCGGGGCGGCGCGCAGTGCGCGTGCTGGTGGTGCGCACGCTGGCGGGGGCGCAGTGCGGGGCGGGGTGGGCGCCGCGACACCTGGCGCAGGGCGCGGCGGCGGGCGCGGGCGCGGGCAGCTGCGGCGCGGCGCCGCTGTGCGCGGGCCCGGCGCGCGCTCCGCCCGCCTGCAACCAATGCGCGGGGGCACCGCTGCTGCGGGACTCGCGGCTGGTGGGGGTGCTGGCGGCGGGGCCCTGCGGGGAAGCATGCGGCCCCGCACTGTACGTCAATGTTGCTACTGTTGTCGACTGGTTAAATTCTACCATTTGCAGTTGAATAAATGTCTAACTTTATTTTTATCTTTTTATATTTATTTACCTGAGAGTAAACGTGTCCCTCTTGTTGCCTAAACTATATCATAGTATATTAATAATATTATTATTATAACATTTTTTAATTCAATGGAAGTGTCATGTACGGACACGTGTTCCGGATTAAACTAACTGCAGCTTGCAACTTTTCATATGGTTCATGGAATTTAAACAAAGTAAATGTTAGTTCACTCCACGAAATATACAATAGATAGATATTTATTTTAATCAAAACAGTCAAATAATGGAAAGAGTAAAGGAGTAAAGTAAAATGGCTCTTCTGAAACCATCTCAAACGAAGCTGTCACAGCTGCTATTTATGACATTAATGTGACATTTGAGATGCGAGCGAACTGAAACCGAGGAGGCAGGAGAGAAGTGTGGCTGTGAAGCGAAGGATAAAGGTGTCGTGTGGAGGTGGGCAGTGCAGACGGCGCGATGAACAAGGCGCTGGCGGCGTGGTCTGCCGTGATGGCGCTGTTCACGGCGGGCACGGTGGCGGCGGCGCTGCTGCAGTACGTCGAGGACGCGGCGGGCGCCGGCGCTCCGCAGCTAGACTACCCCTAGCCTTGCCCTTGTTCTCCAGAACATGTAAACTTCTTTCAATAACTTAATTTAGGAAAGATGCGATCCTGACATTTTTTGTAATTAACTAAAATAAATGTTATAAAATGTATTATGAAGTGTTTTTACATCTTCGCTTTCGCGCTTTCCACATGAGATCTGAGTCGTGACCTAAGTTGCCATAGTGCTTTGAGATGACAATTCCGCGTTTCGCCTGGCGAGTGAGCGCCCCGGAGGTTTAATTTTGGTCTTCTTCGCCAAATTCGTGTTTGGGCGGCAAAAGGAAACCCATTGTGTTTTTATTTCATATTTATTATAAGGTTTGAATTAAAACTCAGATATAAGCATTAACGTAAACAATTTATATTTGAATATTCTTCACAAGTATAATTCACCAA